TCCCTCGGACTCAGAAGATTTCTCTTTACTTAGGCTCACTGGAATTCATTCGTTTCAAATCCCACCGCTCTGCTGCCACTTTTGTCGCGCACCCCCAGTGCCCTCTGCTTGTTTTCCCACTCACAGGTTCACCTTCGGACACGACTTGTTCTTTTCACCCTTTTTCACTGCCACCAGAGGGTATTACCCTCACTGTACCAATTATGAATCTCAGACTATTGCTGCCAAATATAACAAGATTTGTTTATGGTTTGGTAGGTAAATCACAGAAGAAAAACCATGGATGTTATTTTATTATTCATTCAATAAACGTGGATTTAATTACATGTAAGGAGTCTATCCGGAATCACAGTGTGGATTTCGAGCAAATAGATCCACCACTGACATGGTATTCTCTCTCCGACAGTTGCAGGAGAAATGCAGGGAACAACAACAGCCACTCTTAGTGGCCTTCATAGACCTTACAAAAGCATTTGACTTGGTTAGCAGGGATGGCCTTTTAAAAATACTTCCCAAGATTGGATGTCCACCTCGTCTCCTTAACATCATCAGGTCCTTCCACGATGGAATGAAAGGCACTGTAGTTTTTGACGGCTCAACATCAGATCCCTTTGACATCTGAAGCGGAGTGAAACAGGGCTGTGTCCTCGCACCAACACTTTTTGGGATCTTTTTTGCTGTCATGCTGAAGCATGCCTTTGGAACTGCAACAGAAGGTGTCTATCTCCGGACTAGATCAGATGGAAAGCTCTTTAATCTCTCTAGATTGAGAGCAAAGACCAAAGTCCAGCTGAAATGCATGAGGGACTTCCTCTTTGCAGACGATGCAGCCATTGTTGCCCACTCTGCTGAAGACCTCCAACAACTCATGAACCGTTTCAGCAAGGCCTGCCAAGACTTTGGACTAACAATCAGCCTGAAGAAAACACAAGTCATGGGCCAGGGTGTGGACTCACCTCCCTCTATTACCATCTCCACACAAGAATTGGAGGTTGTTCATGACTTTGTGTACCTTGGCTCAACCATCTCTGACACCCTCTCTCTAGATGTCGAGCTGGATAAACGCATTGGGAAAGCAGCCACCATGTTCTCTAGACTCACAAAGAGAGTATGGCTCAATAAGAAACTGACAACACATACCAAGATCCAGGTCTATAGAGCCTGTGTCCTGAGCACACTCCTGTACTGCAGCGAGTCCTGGACACTTTGTGCCCGGCAGGAGAGGAAGCTGAACACCTTCCATATGCGTTGCCTACGACGGATTTTTGGTATCACCTGGCAGGACAGAGTTCCAAATAGAGTAGTCCTAGAACGAGCTGGAATTTTCAGCATGCATACATTACTGAAACAGCGACGTCTACGCTGGCTTGGGCACGTCGTGAGAATGGCTGATGGTCGGATTCCAAAGGATCTCCTATATGGAGAATTAGTGCAGGGAAATCGCCCCAGAGGGAGACCATAGCTGCGATACAAGGATATCTGCAAGAGGGATCTGAAGGCCTTAGGAATAGACCTCAACAGATGGGAAACTCTGACATCTGATCGTTCAGCCTGGAGGCAGGTGGTACATCATGGCCTCTCCCAATTTGAAGAGACCCTTGTCCAGCAGGCCGAGGCAAAGAGGAAGTCACAAAGGAAGCAAAACCAGGGGGCTGGACAGGGGACAGATTGGATTTGTCTTCAGTGTGGAAGAGATTGTAACTCTCGAATTGGCCTCCTCAGCCACACTAGACGCTGTTCCAAGTCCTCCATACAGAGCACGCTACCATAGTCTTTCGAGACTGAAGGATGCCTACTACTACTATGTAGTTCCTATTACTTTTAACTCTTTTATATTCTCTAGCACACCAACTTTCCAATCCCTTGTCTAAACACTTCCCAATCTTCTCCCTCACTGATTCTCTGTCTCACGCAGCTCTGTTGACTCCGCCCCTCCTGTCTTGTCATAGGCTTCTGCACTAGAGCTCTAAAATGACAGACAGGAGTGACATGTGGGCTATCCGCCACAGGAACCTTCAGTGGAGGATTGTTTAATAAAATTACAGGAACTAATATTAATGGACAAACTAACACACCCATTGAAAGGAAAGCGTACAACAGAGCACGAATCTCAATGAGGGAAAGTAAAGTATTATCTCAGAGAGAAATGGAAGAAAGATTGCAAACCTGTACCAAGTGACTTAGGCTTAAATTAGAAGCAGAACTGCTCTCAACAGAAGTAAAAACAAAGTAAAGCAGATTGTTAATATGGATATAAAATAAGAATTGAAAGGTATTATTAAGATTGTGAAGAAAATAAATGTCTGGTGGTAAATAAGGAAGGAAAAATGTTAAAGACTTACTGTTTTGCGAAAGAGATAATGGAAAGTTATTTTGGTTATGTACTAATATTGTGATAATTATTTACTTATTTTTATATTTTTTTAATTAAATGCAATAAAGATTAAAAGTTTAAAAAAGGTTATTCCATTTGCGTAGGTACAAGAGAGAATTTTGGCCACTGTATTCTAAATAATGTAGATACATCTTTTCCTGGCTAGCAAAGTATTAAGAAAATGGGGTGGGGGAATGCTGTAACTGAAAAAAAAAGGTTTTATTATCTAGCTCTGAGAAACTTTTTAAAAACCTGGTAAGACTCATTTGTTTTTGTAGCAAAACTTACTTTGCTGCAGTTCCCTTATGAGGACCTGTTATTTATTTATTTATTTTTAATTGGACATAACAATAGAAATGAACTCTGCATTTTAAGAAAGGAGTTTCCCCCATGACATCTGAACTGATAAACTGTGGTTTAAGAAATCTGGAAAGTTGTAAACTGGACAGAGGAGAAGGGGTGTCCAAACAAACCATGTTGTTGTTTAGTCATTTAGTCATGTCCAACTCTTCGTGACCCCATGGACCAGAGCACGCCAGGTCCTCCTGTCTTCCACTGCCTCCTGGAGTTGGGTCAAATTCATGTTGGTTGCTTCGATGACACTGTCCAACCATCCAACCATCTCATCCTCTGTCGTCCCCTTCTCTTCCTGCCTTCACACTTTCCTAACATCAGGGTCTTTTCCAGGGAGTCTTCTCTTCTCATGAGATGGCCGTGAGAGCCTCAGCTTCAGGGTCTGTCCTTCCAGTGAGCACTCAGGGTTGATTTCCTTTAGAATGGACAGGTTTGTTCTCCTTGCACTCCAGGGGACTCTCAAGAGCCTCTTTCAGCAGCACAATTCAAAAGCATCAATTCTTCGGCAGTCAGCCTTCTTTATGGTCCAGCTCTCAGTTCCGTACATCACTACAGGAAAAGCCATAGCTTTGAATATTCTGACTTTTGTTGGCAAGGTGATGTCTCTGCTTTTTAAGATGCTGTCGAGGTTTGTCATTGCTTTCCTCCCAAGAAGCAGGTGTCTTTTAATTTTGTGGCTGCAGTCCCCATCTGTAGTGATCATGGAGCCCAAGAAAGTAAAATCTGTCACTGCCTCCATATCTTCCCCTTCTATTTGCCAGGAGGTGATGGGACCAATGGCCATGATCTTAGTTTTTTTGATGTTGAGCTTCAGACCATTTTTTGTGCTCTCCTCGTTCATCCTCATTACAAGGTTCTTTAATTCCTCCTCACTTTCTGCCAGCAGAGTGGTATCACCTGCATATTGGAGGTTGTTGATATTTCTTCCAGCAATCTTAATTCCGGCTTGGGATTCCTCCAGTCCAGCCTTTCGCATGATGTATTCTGCATATAAGTTGAATAAGCAAGGGGACAATATAAAGCTTTGTCGTACAGGGTACTCCTTTCCCAATTTTGAACCAATCATTTGTTCCGTATCCAGTTCTAACTGTTGCTTCCTGTCCCACATATAGGTTTCTCAGGAGATAGATAAAGTGGTCAGACACTCCCATTTCTTTAAGGACTTGCCATAGTTTCTTGTGGTCCACACAGTCAAAGGTTTTTGCGTAGTCAATGAAGCAGAAGTAGATGTTTTTCTGGAACTCTCTGGCATTCTCCATAATCCAGCGCATGTTAGCAATTTGGTCTCTAGTTACTCTGCCCCTTCGAAATCCAGCTTGTACTTTATCAATGCGCGTGATCGCAAATACTCCATCGCTATGCGGATTCATCGTTAAATGGGACGCTCGTTAAGCAAGGCACCACTGTATCTAGAGTGTGTATTTCAAAACAGTAGCTTTCATTTGATGCAGAAGACCAAGTGTGATGAATATAAATATTACAAAATGTTAACAAAGAGACTGATACTTACTTCTGTTTCAAAATGCATAGGATGGACTGACCAAACTGACCAAACACCCTAACAATCACTTCTGTTTCAAAATGCATAGGATGGACTATTACTGACCAAACACCCTAACAATGGTACTATCCCACTCATTATTATTTAATTTTGGTGTTCAAGAGGCTTATGGCAAAGCATATTTTATGTTACAGGGATGCTTCCTAAAACATTAAGAATATTTGAATTCAGATTCATTCCTTAAACAGTTGTTTCATTCTTCATTATAAATTATTAAAAACATAATTCTAGAACCTCCCAGCTCCCCTCAAATCCAGCCCATGCTGGAGTGTGGGAGGTAAATCATATTTGAAGGTAGGGGAAGAGAAGGATCAGATCTCTTTGCTTGGAAAAGACCATAGTTAGCTGCCTGCAAATGATTCTTCTTGGTAATTTATAATGCTGAGCATGAAAACAATCTCAGAACATCTCCTGATTAAGATTATTAAACCTATCAAGAAAAAATAATTGTTGTGGATATCTGTTTTAGCAAAATCTTTAATGATTTATGTAATTTCAAATAATTAAATTGCTATAAATTACTTTACTTAGTACTCAGAGTTTTGCTTTTTGGCCTTTTAGCAAAGATCAAGTGCAGCACTCAGAATTTGCTGTTTGATCTTTAAGCGCTTTTAGCATGCTGATGTGATATTTCCTTGTACCTCTCAAATGCTCAAAATAACATGCATTTTATGTCCATTAATGGAGGTTTTTTTTAATTTTGTGTTTCAGATAAAGTGGGGAGCTTGTGCCCTTGTGCTGGCTGGCAATGCAGTAATTTTCCTTACCGTTTTAGGCTTTTTTGTCCTGTTCGGCAGAGGAGATGATTTTACGTGGGAACAGTGGTAAACTTTACAGATGTGTATTATATTGCTTATATAGACTTTATTATTGTACAGCTCTTATAGTGCCATTTTTATGTATATATACAATGTATATATGTGCATATATTAACCTATGTTAAGCACAAACATATATAGCCATAGATTTTTGCTTTTTTAGAACAATTTTAATATTTTGATCAACAACAGCTAACATGGGGAATTAATTGCATTTAAAAAAATCAAGTGTATTTGCATAATGTGGGATGAGTAGTCTTCCCAGATCTGGCGGCTGCAGACACCCATTGCTGAAACTTGGAGGACCGCAGCTGTGATTCCATCTCCATTTTTCCTTATGGTTTATTAATAGAACCCTCCTCCAAAAAACCCACAATTGATGAGGGGGGAGATCCTGAAGTGGTGCTTTTGTTATGTGCTTTCAATTCAGAACCAACTTCTAGTGACCATTATCAGGGCTTTCAAGGTAATAGAGATGTTTAAGGGGTGGTTTCCCCAGTTTCACCCCTCCCCAGTGAATTTCCCCAGCCAAGCAGGGATTCTAACCCAGGCCTCCTGAGTTCTACCCTGTCACTCTACCCACTGCACCGCACAGGGTGCTCTTAATAATGCTATCCTTGTCTTAAATTGGTTTGAGGTGATGAGGTCTCTTTAAAATATTGCAAAATTGCACCTGTGCCCCTGGAGGGCACAAGGGGGCTTTAAAAGCCCTCAATTTTTTATTTTTGCTCTAAAAGAAAATCATTGAGTACCGGTGGAGCAGGTAACCTGAGGAGCCACAGTTTGTCCTCTGCTGGCTTAGCGAAATGCATGCCGCTTCCTGCACCGCATGAGGATCTTTGCACTGTAGCCACAGGTTTGCAGGTTAGGACAGTCTTGCCATTTAGGCCAGAGACTTAGCTAGTTTTTCTCTAGGATTTGCACTTACTGTAACTTTTGCTGCTGCTGCTGCTTTTGTTTTCAAACTGCAGTGCAGCAAAAGGTATTGAGGCCGCATGAAAACAAAAGTTCATTTAAATACCAGTTTTGATTTGGCCAAGGAGCTGTTCTCCAGGAAGCTCTGTGTTTTGGCAGTAGCAAAAAAAAATATGTGTATCGATGGTGGTGCAAAAATTACTTGTCACATACCTTGATTTAGAAAGAAAACCCAAACAACCCTTGAGCTGTAGGATAGTGTGACAGAATCCTGTAGATGCCTTGCACAGAGTAATCTGCATCTCGCATATACAGAAGCAACTATATTCAGGTGTTCAGCAAAGGTTTGATCTTCATATTGGAGGACAGAGAATTTCAGCCTTGCATGACCATCGCCGTCTAAAGAGGAAAAGCTCTACTAGGCACGAAACCTCTCTGTGTTACTGGAAAATCAGGGTTCCTGATCATGTGGCGCTTTATAGCCAAAGCTTTCTTTTTCAGACTGTTTACTCTCTTGAAGAGAGTGTAGAGATAAAGCTCTCTCCTTCTCATATGTTCCATTCTGAATGCTTGAATAAGGCTTGAGTCTTGTTCCATCCTCAGGGGATTTCCAATTCAGCAGGCACCAGTGGAATAGAAGAATGGGTGGGTCTTCATTGAGTTCACCCTCCCCTTATACAGCCCTCAGTTTCTGCTTTGCTTGAGCTTTGGTTCATTCATTTTAAATCTTTAAATATATTGCTAGTTATGCTTAGCACAGAGGTAGAAAAGTGAAAGCTGCTGTTCTGTGCACACATACCTGGGAATAGGCTCCACTGATTAAATGTTTAAGCGAACGTTTTCATGATATAGTCCGATGAAGTGGTGTTTTTATCCACAAAAGCTTGCGTATTGTATGATACTTTTTAAAGTGGTTTGTAAAAGTATCACCTATTGCATTTGCATTTTAGTATGTTTTCAGAAGTTGCCTTATAGGTGCTGTTGTACTGGTAAGAAGGAATGGAAGCGTAGGTTGCCCCTCTGTTCAAGGGGCATCTACGTTCAGTGCATCTTTCACTGAACTTAGAAGTCCTGCTTTGGGGACTACACGCCCCTGATTCTCCTGGCTGGGAAATTCTGAAAACTGTAGCCTAAAAGAGTAAATTTTCCAAGCTCTGGTTTTCTGCCATACCAAACTAATAGAGTATTTTAGGGCTTAGGATACTAGAATTAATGAGAATGGTAAATGATAATGTAGGCATTCTAGCAGGTATCAAATGACTTTATTAATCTTCAGAAGGGAATGAGTCGCTATTGTTATAGATAAGATAAGATAAAAATGTTTTTCTGTTCTCTGTGAAAAATCCAATTTGTCTTGTTTCCTGGTTGCAATGTGTTTAGCTTATTGCTGGAATTCAAAAGCTTTCCAACATCTTGATGCTGACCAGCTCCAAGCTGGCCATCCTACCACATCCTGTGAACATTCATTTTCTTCTGTGTTTTTTTTTAATTACATAGTAGTAAACTAATTTCAAAGTGCCTTTATCTCTTAGATTACTCTGATCCATAGAAAGCATGTCGATAATGCAACGTCTATTTTTTCAGTCTGATGGTCCAGTTGTTTTCCATTCTCTGGTGCCTAGCCTTTTCTATGATTCATATAAAATATACATGTATTTGAAATGTTGTTACTTTTCTAATCTATACGATTGAAATACTGAAATCGTGCAATATTGCAGTGTATTTGTAAGTGAAAACATGCTTCAAGCTCTAATAAAACTGTACTTTAAAGTTTCACTATCATGAATTTGTCTCTTTCCATTTTATTACAAATGAGACACTCAGGATCACACTAACCGTCTAAAGGATAAGTACAATAACAGTACCAGTAAATAACTCCTTCAAAACACAGTAGAACAAAAGTTCAGAAACATTTGTTCTTCAGATGTGGACAATTGATTGCCTAGCAAATGTTCTGAGCTTAGTTTGTATAATTTCTTTTATATAATGTCTGGCACTTAGCAGTATTAGTGGCAGAACCTCTAAGAAGAGTTGCTCATCAGTTCTTGAGTTTCACACAATACAATTTCGTTTGAGTTTTATATGATGGCAAATCTTGTTCTAAGGTCAAGTGAGTGGCTTAACAATTTTTTCCACAGTTTCTAGTAGATTAAAGTAACCATTTATTAAGTGGCTGGGACCTTTTTGTGTTGCATCTTTCACTCCAGTTTCATTACTAAATTAGTTGCTGTTTGGGCATTTCCAAATGACAGTGATTGAAAACATGTCTTGTGTAATTGGTTTGCCCAGATTTGTAGCCTCTTCACCATTGTTTCATTTATGGGAGAGTCCTTCCAGTAAAGCAACAAAGGCAGTACTAGAGTGATTTTTGCTGATTTTTCCCTTCCTGAGCCCACATGCCACCTTTCATGTTTTGGAAGGTCCCACTGGAACAGGTTTGTAGGGGGGAATGGAATTTGATAAATATCCTCTTCTCATTCTTGTAGATGGTGTTAGAAGTACCAGCTCTACTTATAGAAGGCCTCTCCAGTCGGTTTGAGTGATCTCCCATGCTGTACAGCTCATTTCCCTGAGACAAAGTCCCCCGAGCATCTGTAGCACCATTTTCAGTGGGCTAAAAGGAGAGGGAGGAAGATGTCTTTTCCTGTCAGACTGCTTATGAGCCCCTTGGCCAGGATTTTAGTTGATAGTTCTTGCCTTATGAGAAATAAAAGGCCAGAATCCTGTTGCTTACATCAGTGGTTCTTAACCTTTGTTACTCGGATGTTTTTGAACTGCAACTCCCAAAAACCCCAGCCAGCACAGTTGGTGGTGAAGGCTTCTGGGAGTTGCAGTCCAAAACTTCTGAGTAACCCAAGGTTAAGAACCAGTGGCTTACATATACCAGTGTAAATCAGAGCAGCAAATAGCCTGTAGTAAAGGAGTTATTGATGGTATTTATCATCATACTCCATCAAGTGATTAGTATGTGATGAGGAATACAAGTACAAACTCCTTGGCTAGCAGCAATTTGCCACTATGATCTTAGACTTTTGTTATGCTGGAGTGCGCAAATAATCGGATTCTGGCCACTCTGCCTTCTCTGCTCCTGAGAGCCTAGTTGAAATCCTGTCCCAGTGGGGGTGTGCATGTGCATGTTGTTCTGACATCTTGAGAGGCTTGTGAATTTTCCATGCAGTTTAGCATGGAGAGTTGACTGTGAGCTTCCCCAGATGGTGAGAAAGAATAGGAAAATCAAGTGTAGAGAGCCAAGTTTTGTCGGAAATCAATAGCTAGTCATATATGCACAACACTGTAGATTGTGGTGTTTTTATTTGCTAAGTGCCTTCTGGCGCAGTGGTTAAACTGCAGCATTGCTGCCAAACCGCTGCTCATAACCCAATTTCAATCTCAGGTAGCTGGTGGGAGGTTCACTCAGATTTTTATCCTTCCAAAGTCAGTAAAAACTATGCAGCTTGCTGGGGGGGGGCAGCAATGTGTAGTCTGCATAATTAAATTGTAAGCTGCCCAGAGAGTGCTTTAAGTGCTATGGGACAGTATAAAAGCAGCACACTTTGCTTTTGCATTGCTAGGACATTGACAGTATAAGTACGAAGCCACTGTAAAAATGGTGCCCTACAATAGGATTGTTATTGAAGATCCAGCAATAGTTGTAACTAAAGAGTCTCATAACCCCTCTGCCAGGATGTTTCTGCAGCTAACAAAGGTTCCCCTTGTCCTACAAGTGCAGTGTGATAGGGAAATCTGTCTTGACTGAACTTTGGCTGAGATGGTTTACTCTAGACAAAATTATTTCCTCCTCCTTATATAAATTGAGTCCACTCAGACTGTACTATCTTCATCTTCCTTTATCAGTACATCATGCCCAGGTGATCTTTCTAGCACCATATCGTTGCTGAAAAGTTCTTCAATGTTGCTCTTGTTGGTTAAATGGCATTCCCCGCTCCCCGGTGCAATGGTTTTGTTGAACTCACTAGCTGGAATTCACTTGTTTCCTTTTGAAACTGAGTCAAGATCTCATTTTGAATCAACAGAACTCAAAAGACAGTCTTGTTACTTTCCCTTAAGTACCTGGACACCTTCCACTGCTTTTTTCCTCTGCTGTACTTGCAGTTCCCCAACGTCCCATCTGTCTTTAGGTAAAAGTAAAGGTTCCCCTTGACATTTAGTCTGGTCATGTCTGACTCTAGGGCGTGGTGCTCATCCCCATTTCCAAGCCGTAGAGCCAGCGTTTGTCTGAAGACAGTTTCTGTGGTCATGTGGCCAGCGCGCCTAGACACGGAACACCATTACCTTCCCACCAAGGTGGTACCTATTTATCTCCTTGCATTTTTACATGCTTTCAAACTGCTTGGTTGGCAGGAGCTGGGACAAGTGACGGGAGCTCACTCCATCGCGTGGATTCGATTTTGCGACTGCTGGTCTTCCGACCTTGCAGCACAGAGGCTTCTATGGTTTAACCTGCAGCGCCACCACATCCCTCATCCGTATTTAGGAAGGACCTAAATCTGATCTTAGAAAGGGGTCTTTCAAAATCCAAAGGGATTTCTTTTCCTCCACTATTTCTATTTCCACATGTGCCTAGAAAAAGGCTTAATTCTGTAGTTGAATCAGTAACTTTATTGCAATCTTTCTTTGGCGGATTAAAAAGGTGTCATGTGAAGCCTCCCTTACTGTTGGATGTGAGCCAAAGTTTAGAAGCAACACATTACAATGTTACTACCCATATCTATTAGTTTTAGTTTTAGTTTTTGTGATAATGAGGGCACAGTGACACCAGAGTAACAAAACAGCCAGCAATGTTAAATTTTGATATAACACTTGTTGCTTCAAAAACCAGGAAGCAAGGACTTCTGGAGTAGTAGGGGAAATATGGAGAGCATTTATCTACTTTTCAGTTGTTTTCATTAAAGAAATCCAAAATCAGAAATGTGTTATTAATGCGAGACTTTAGAGGAGTACTGATTAACATGTTACTTAAAACACCAACATGTCAGTTCTCTAAAATAATACTTTAGACCAGTGGTATCCAACCTTGGCCCTCCAGATGTTCTTGGACTTCAACTCCCAGAAATCCTAGCCGGCAGAGGTGGTGGTGAAGGCTTCTGGGAGCTGCAGTCTAAGGACATCTGGAGGGCCAAGGTTGGACACCACTGCTTTAGACTTTGTTGTGTAGTCCTTAGGGTGCCTGTCCCATCATACTCACATCTTTTAGACGTTGTCTGCATATTCTGAGAACCTGGGTGTGTGTGGCAAAAGAACACAAGCCACAAGAACATGTCAGTACACAAGGCTTTAGAAATATGTGTATTGACGCTTAACTCAGATATTTCTGTTGCTCTAGTCATCACATTTTGTTACTGTGACCATATCCAGAAAGCTGTGTTTCTCTCCACTTGAGTTGTATACACAATTCTTCACTTCCCTTTTCCTTCTCCCCCCTCTGCTACTCTCAGGCACTGTAGAAACTCCCAGTTTGTCCAGCTCCAGGCCTTTTGTGGACTCCCAGGGACTGAGATCTTTCCCCCTGTGGTTGTTTTCAAACTTGCATGAGCATGGCCTAGTTTTTAAATCCTCTCATCCATCATCTTAAATCAGAAGCACATGTCTGAGCTAAATTCCCCCATAAAGAAGTCTAGTGGATTTCTGTTTATTTCATTCTGCATCTAAATGCCAGGAGTGCATTACATGTTCAGGGTTGATTTGATCTAGGATGTACTTGTTTGTCCTTCTGGCAGTCCTGGGTGTCCACAAAACTCTCCTCCAACACCAGATTTCAACTTAATTGGTTTTTTTTTCATGGTGATGTCAATAGATGGGGGGGGGCAAGTTGGTCATGTTTTCCAGGACTCCTTGAAATGTGTGTCTGATTGTATTAAACAGGGATTGAAAATACAGTGAGATGAAAGTCCATGTTTGCCATTGACAGAATACAGTTTGATCTATGTGTTATATATTTTGATTCATGCATTATAGTTGTAGTATGTTGTTAGGAAGATAAAATTAGAGTTTATTGGAAATAATAGCACTTGTCTAGGTTCTGTTTTTTGTTGGTTTAATCTTCACCTTTTGTCTTTAAAATTGAAAGTGCACCTTCAATTTTAAAGACAAAATTGAAATTTTATGGACTAGCAATGAAATAGCTGATATCCCAGTGCACCAAAACCCTAATCTAAGTTCTCCACTTTGTATTGTTACTGAATAAAAAAATGCTGGAGGGCCGGCCACAGAAACTGGTGAAACGTCAGGAAGAACAACCTTCAGAACACGGCCAAAGAGCCTGAAAAACCCACAACAACCATCAGATCCCGCCGTGAAAGCCTTCGAGAATACAGATCTGTAAAACATTTGCCAAAGAGTTTATTGACTGCTATTCAGGATCTTGACTTTGAGGAAACCCTAATGTAGATAATCACTTTGCTAATCACTTTGCCAGATCAGATAAACCAACATCTGAACCCTCCCTAAGAGTCCTACGAAACTTTATAGATGTCCAGGGGTTAAAAATAACAAAACTATATTTATCACAGCTGGCATTATCCCCCAAAAGGGTTAACTACAGAATGAAATCAATCAATCATTGGCAACTATATCAAAATTTATCACAGTATCAAAGTATACATCTTTTCATTTTTACAATAATTCCAAGTAATATGAGCTTGTCTAATTCTACAGGCTTTATTAATCTACCTTGCTTCTGTTTCATTAATCAAAAATACTTCAGTGTTGTTGTAAAAATATAAAAGTATTAAATTTATGGAAAACTGTAGGCACAAATGCTTAAAA